GAGGTAGATCTAGATCCTCGGTCTTGGGGATACGGGGGATACGGTCTTTTCCTGGCATGCCGTTTGGGAGTAGCAGATGAGTTTGTAATATCTGGAGTATGGCTTGGACCAGGTTGTGGATTTGTGAATGGACTTCCACCATGTGAAAACACATCAGTGTTGACTATTGTCTCCATGTTGTCCTCCCGAAGCTGGGATGCTTGTCGGAGTTCCTGCTCATCTTCCGGCCCTTCAATCAAATTGGTTGTTGAGGTATTTCCATCCTCAACAAAAGGAATTAAAAACAGCATGGCTTTGTACAGGTACCACGGTTTCTGGTATTTACCCCCTGATTCAGATTTATAAGTTGTTTCTTTCTTATGGTGCCTCCGGAAAGAATCTCTCAGCATTGCCCATTTCTTTCTTGCAGTTGCACCTATTGGGATCGTAATACATGTATATATTATAATAATTAATATACCAGGAGACAGCTTATGATGACAGGTTGGAAAGAAAAAAACTAAAGTGGCCTGTGGTCTAGTGGTTAGACGGTTTGACTCGTGATCGGAATGTCATGGATTCGAAACCCGAAGTAAAGTCCTTGGGAAATGTTTTTTCACGCACTTTCCCCACCCCACTCATGTGAAAACGAGTACAGTCCGTGCCGGCTATAAGCACGCCGGCTTAAAGCACGTTTCGGACTCAAGCACGCTAAACGGCTCTTACCGAATTTTTGCTATATCAATTACACGCCTTTAAGCACGGTAACTTCGGCTTCAAGCACGCTTCATTACAAGACAGTAAATACTTTTATGATGACCCATCGAAGTTCGAACACAGTCTACACTGCAGCAGTGGAGTGTGTTAAGAGAAACACAGAGAACACAAGTGATGGACACACACACTCACACGGGCAGAGAGGAAGGCAGAGAGATGAACACAGCCGCGCTCGTGGACATAGGATCTAGCCTAGGGCAAAGTTACACACTGACTAAAAAGTACAAATAGAGTCAGGGAGACGAAAAAGGGAGGCTGGTTGCGATTTCACCTTTGACCCTCGCTATCCGATAATCCTGATTGTGTATCACGCGCGAGGTGAGATGAAGGCGGTGGTATGAATGTGGCACAGCGGGCAGTGGTACGCACAGGCAGCGTGTAGGCCTACTAGTGTGCTGTATCGTGACTGGCCGTCTAAATTAAGTTTACATTTCCCAATTCAACCACAAAACAAAAACAAACAAGCAAACAAATACTACCATGGCGGGTAAAAATAACCGTGCACACATTTGCGGGACTGCAATAGGCCTACTTACAAACAAAAGGAAATAGCACGTGAAATTTTCTACATGAAAATCTCTGGATTATGTCTACTTCGCACTCAAGCACGCTTCGGCTTTAAGCACGCTTAAGCTTTCTCCCGATGACCGTGCTTAAAGCCGGCGTGGACTGTATAAGGCCATTAACAGTGCTGTCCACGTAAACAAATGTAAAGCGCCTAACAGTAACAGACTGCTTGTGGTGTCCAAAATGTTATATCTTGCTGTCGATATGGGACTCCTTGTGAAGCGCACTGAGCACCCGCTATATAAAAGCTTAATTATATACATGATTGGATT